AAGTTTTGACCCTTTCAGGAGCAAAGGAAACATTGCCATCAGTAAGAATAAGGACCGCTCTTGTCTACGGCTCATGCGAGAGAGCTGCAGCTGCACGGGCTGCAACTGAGCTGACACAGGAGAGCTCTGTGGGGAAGCAAAAGAGAGGGGGGGAAAAAAAAAGGCCTCTGTCTCAGGAACAGTGAGGCTGTCATCTGTATGATTTCACCCTTGCTGCTTTCTTAGGAAACAGCGATCACAGATCACAAATGCATAAATTCCATCAAAGGACAGATTCTAGAAAGCAGTATGAATGTTGAGCTCTAACTGTAAATATAGCAGATCCAACCTGGAACACTGAACTAGTTAAATACATAACAGTATTTATTTATGATGCTATTAGAAGAAAGAGAGAGATGGACATTATCTTGGTCTCCAAGATATCTGACGTGCTTTCCTTGCCCCACTACAAAGTTGGAAACTGGCAAATTCATCCATTATGCAGCTGGTGATGGGTTGTTTTTTTTATTAACCCCCAAACTTGGGAACAAAAGCAACAGAGAATTTTTTCTGTTGCCTCTTGGAAATCCTGCTGGATTAAACTATTTCTGAAGACAGAAACATAGGTCTATTTAGACAGTAAGTCTGGAAGAGAATATGGAAGAGAATATTTTAAGACAAAATTATACTTGCCTTTTTGTCAATCTGTTTCTTAGTGCACATATGTGCTTCATATTTCCTTGTAAAAGAGGAAAGCAGACACCAAGAGGCCGAGTCCAGTTGCTATGGAAATTTAAACAGTTAAAAGGGATTTGCATCCAGTTAAATGGTCAGATCATTTCCATGTGAATGAAGACTATGCTTTGACAGAATAGTATTTGATATTTTCATGATCGTTTTCCAGTTTGTGGGTTTCATCAACTTCATGTTTGCTTTTGTCTCCAACTCCAGATGGTTCCAGGACAGGGAGACAGGTAAAAGTGATTGAGCAATGGTGGTTGGGCACAACATGTGTGTTTGTTTCTGCAAACTCTGACACATAGAAGTTGTTCAGATTGCACAGGGGAGGTCTTCCAATGCTTTGGATCCAGGTATCAGGCTTAGGAAGGCACAGGCTTAGTCCCTACAATACCACTAGGCTGACAATAGTCGGAGCTGTGTCAGAGGAACAGCACAGAATGTCATTTCGCTTAAGGGAGATTTTGGAGGGGGTATTTGCGGTTTACGCTAGGAAGAGAATGGGATGGAAGAAGTCTCTGATGGTTTTCATCAGCCAGCCAAAAGCAGCCTGGTATCACAGTGCTCTCTTCAGCTACTGGGAAGACAGACTCAGTCTCCTTCCAGAAAGACAAGAGTGGCTTAGCCTGAGGAAGACTCCCACTGCTAAAGCTAATCAAAAGCTAAAACAACTTACCTGGGGCTTCAGCAAATTCAATGTCATTTAAATTGGGTCCTCCCAACAGAAATATAATTCTGTGTCTCAGAGGATAGTGGTTTGATAAATCTCACACTGTGATTTCTACTGTGGTATCTTTTATACACAAAGTCTGATACTGTGGTTATAATGACTTTAAGCTGTTACCAATCTATAGTAGAAAGTGTGAAAACAAGTATCATGTGACTTATAAGTGTTGACTGTATTGCATTGTTTTATCTTCGGACAAGCACAGACGGGGAATACAGACTGAAGTGTACTTGACCCAAGTGAATTGTGCAGTACATGTGTTTAGTATAGATGTACAGAAGGTCCCGTGTTATCTGAAAAAGACAATGGCCAAGGTCACTGCAGTGCGAAAACATGAGGAAATTTTGGTTAAATCAAAATGTTTGGGATGCTTGCTAGAATTGTTCTTGGTTAATGGAGTGCGTGGTTAGCATAGTGCAGTGTATCATGACAGCAAAATTACTAATACAAGCTTAATGGAGTAATACATGCATTTAACAAGAATTATACTTAATGTATTAACCAATGTGGCTATGAAATGCTAAAAAAATTAAGTTAGTAATATTCCATTTTATTAAAGGGTTTGGGTCTTCAGAGCTTTTCCACAAGTGCTATTTCTAGATCCCATGTTGCCCTGCTCAAGGCTGCAATGAAATAACATAGTAACTTTCATTTTCAAAATAAAGAAGATAACCCTATCTCTTGGCATCTGCTTAAATAAAACTGACTTGCTGTACTAATCTTACTTTAACAGATTAGAAATGAATGTACCAAAGATAAGGCAAATAAAGTTTCTATTTAATTTCAGTCTAATTTGCCTGTCAATGTGAAGTCTACTACAAATCAAGACAGAAAGTAACCTGAAGCATTAGTAGCCTGAAGCATTATTTTGTGTCAACAAAAGGAAAGCTTATCTCCACAAATTTGCTGCCAATTTTCTGTCTCCTCAAAATAAACATGCACTCCTCGCTCACAGGAGGAGCAAAAGTACCTAAGAAGGATGCATGGAATACTTTCAACAAATCCTGCTCTGCTCCTGTGTTTCAAAGAACAAATCTTATGAAAATAGCCGTCTGATGGGATCTCATAGAGATAAGAGCAGAAACACATAGATCTCATGTTCTTTAATCAGCAAACAGCCTGTGAGGTTCAGACAGCATTTCCCTGCTCTGATGCACCTATATGCAAACACACAGCTGATCTGATGTATTTCAGTCAGTTGTAGTAACAATAGATAATATTTACTTTTGATTATTTGCTTTTGCCACCTCTCCAACTTCTTGCTGTGCAGCTTTGAAATAGCTTCCATACTCCCTCTATGCTGCACTCCAGGAAAGGACAAAACAGACAACGTACCAAGTTAGCTCTTCCACACATCTATAGCAGGGACGCCAAAAAACTGTCCAAAAGGCTAAACTCGTCACAAAGCTTAGTTTAATTTGACAATCATCATAAGGCATCCATGTAAATTAAAAATTCCCACCAGGGTCACATACATTCTCCCACAAAATAAAACTTGTTAAAACAGAGGCCTGGGATTCCAAAAGATGCTAGTGGTTACTGGTCTTGGCCAGGCTGCCACTGCCGGCAGTGAGGTCCAGGAGACGCAGCACCAACAGCGGCAACTCAGGAAGTGGAAAGTCAGCTTGCACAAATCTCTTTTGATAGGCCAACAAATAAAAAGGAAAGAGATTTGTACAGAAAACATCATTCTCCATCCTTACTGGGAAAACAAAACAGAATGAAAAAGATAGTCTCATTCAAGGAGCAAAGAGAAGAGCTTGGAGTTCTGAAGCCCAACAACACTGATGGCCCATTTTGAAAACAAATGAAGCACTACAGAGGCCTGAGTTTATTATTGCTTTATCCCAGTTCAGCCCAGGCTAAGGCTACGGTGAAGTCCAAATTAATTTAAAGTCAGAAAATGCGGATCCAGTAACAGCACCTAAGTCCCCATCCACACATGGGTGTAAACAGATACTTTTGGTGAAAAAAACAAACAAATTTCCCGAATTTCCCCTCTTCCTGTGCTATGCAGATCCCCATAGAAGGGCTAAAATTTGCCCTAAAGTATATAGCAGTTTCTCTCATCTCCTTTAGCTGAGCCTCTCCCAAGTGTTTCGCTTTTTATTCAAACTAGTCCTCTATCCTGGTGATACATCAGCTTAGAGAGGCGTTGTGGGAGCTCACCGAGAGGCACACAGGTACCCACGCGTTAAAAAGAATGTGGCACAGAGTCTAAAAACCATCACCTGTACTCTGTAATACCCAACGATGCTTTGCCCTCAGCTTCCTGAGACCAAACAACACAGATGGAAGAGAGCATCTCCCCATCTTGCATGCCTGGCCAGTGATCAAGAGAAATAGCATGCTGTGTAAATGAAATGGCATCTTACCACCACCATAAGTCAGAAAACAGACTCAGGTAAAGCGGGGCTTAAAAGTTTCACGTCAAGAGGGTGCTTCCCTCAGACTATCGTATGACAGGGCAACTGTTATTCGGGCAAACATTATTCAAGGCAGTAAAATTTTAGCATGGATATCTCCATGGTTGACTTACAGGCCCAACATATGCTAGGGGTGTTTAAACAAATTAAATTAAAGGTCCTGTTAATTCTTCCAAAAGGACAGAATAGAAGACACACAGTGCATCTGACAAACGCACATGCTATACATCCTAACACACTAACAAAGGTTGCAGCTAGACTTGTCAAAACAGTTAAAAAGATTTAGGCATCCAGCTAGTACCAGAATCGATGGCATTTGGGCACCTAAATTTAACTTTTTGAAAATTCGAGCCTACATATTTCTTTATTGCTTGTCCCATTGAGTGCAAAGGGAAAACTGAGGGTAGCATTAACTACAGAAGGATTTCAAATCCATCATAAGGTTTCCCTGTTCTTTTATATATATATTTATATATATAAAAAGCATTATTATTATTTAGCTACCTGGGAGCAGGGGGGAACAGGAGCTATTTAAAATTAGTTTCTTAATTATTTAAGCATTAGTCCCCTATCTCCCCAATCACAATACCTCTGTCACAGTAAGGAGCATAACATGAAAACGTGTTTGCTGCTACTGACAATTCCTGAGTCTCTCCTTTGCAGAACTTCAGCCCAAATATCAGGATAATGGCAGCTTGACACTTATACACTCCCCAGCAACATACACACAGCAAGTAGGACATGCCTCAGTGGCCTCAGACAAAAAAAGAAAAAAAAATTTAGAAAAAAAAAACCAAACCAAACCACCGACCAGCAAACTTGGAGAAACCAACCAGAAGAGCCTCAGGAAAGGGAACTATCCACTTTCCATGGAGAAGCAACTGCCCTGGAGTCCCTGCCCAGTATAAACTGAATCAAAACATCCATTCCACAGATGAAGGAGATCGCTGAAACCTGGCAGTGTCACAAGCTGGATACTTGAAGGCACATTTGCTTTGTGTTTTCGGAGAGAAATCCAGTTACAACAACACACTGCAGCTGCAGGGCTGAGGAAAAGGAGGCGACACTTGGCATCTTTCTTCTGTTCCTGTCCCCATTTTCAAACTTCATGGCTGACATGAGCTGGTGATCTAAGCAGACACATTAACATCCCTGAGTGAAATGGCACCGTTTGTGGCCTCTGAGACTTTGTCCTCAAGCACCATCGCTGGTGTGTCTGTAGTGACTGCTGTAGTGTCTATGGCAGGAAGCGGATTCAAGCCCTGTGATAAGATCTGTTGGATGGTTTTTCGCAAATTGGGGTGCAGCTGATTTTGGGTCTGGTAAAAAATTTCTAAGGCAAAAGACTTGAGGGTGCCAGTGCAAAGGTCCTCATAAAGTGGAATCGTGTACATCCGAGACATCTGCAAAAAAGGAAAACTGGATAGTATCATTTCAATAAAAGACAAGAGGTTCAGCTACACTCCAACAGCCCTGAATGACTTCAGACTGGAGACAAGCAACACATTTCACCAACAGTCGAGTGTATTCTAAATAAGTTTAATGCAAAGGTTTTTATGAATTATAATTAAAAAAACATTTGCTCTCTAAGACTGAGCTACTTTCCCAAATAACAGAACTATTTTTAAAAGGCCAAGAAGAGGCCACAGTGAACATATGCATTAACCTTTTGCTCCTGCAGAATAAAAACTACTGAAAGGACTTTGATGATCCCTAGCTTTGCTTGAAGTGTAAATATTCAAACAATTGCATGATTTAGTAGTGTGAAAATTTCTGGCCTGGAAAAGCCAGGGCCTTCTAAAAAGCAACACAGAAAGTACACTGGGCAGAGCTGGGACAAGGGTATTGAGTTAGGCTAGAAAAGCAGAGGTTATCTGTAGGCATTTCAAATTACATCTGCCCATTCCTCCCCACCCGCTAGCAGGTGAGCCATGCTCAGCCCCTTCGCAACACACCTGGTCTACACTTGGCCAGGAAGCAGAAGTTCCAGGGTCTTTCACGTCGCATGTCTCATGCACATGTCTCATGCACTGAGAGGTGCAGTGATTTTAATCCAGCAGTTAGTACCTGGTTTTCCAAGAAGCGACGGACTTTGTAAAGGTCTGGATAATAGTCATTTCGGACTACAATCTGCAACCAGCGGATACGGATTTCTGCATTCATGGAGTCCAGCTGAGAGGAGTAACATTCCGAAAGCTTTTTTATCACCTCTGAAGAGACCACATACACAGAGAAAGAACTATGACCTATTTTGTCAAGTTTGAGGGTCATCAGAGAATAACGAATCGTAAAACCACAGAATCATAGAATGGTCTGGGGTAGAAAGGACTTTTGAAGATCCTCTAGTTCAACCCCCCTGCCACGGAGGCAGGAACATCTTTCACTAGATCAGGTTGCTCAAAGCCCCATCCAACCTGACTTTACATGAATAGTAACATCAACAAGGGGTAGGGCTCTTTAGAATTCAATTAATTATTCCAAGAATACTTTTCTACTATCCTGATAAGAGTACTCACCATGTGGCAGTGGTGACCCATCCAGCAATCTGTCCAAGAAAAGGACAGTTTGGAACGTTCTCCATTTAGTGAGGTCAACGCTGCTGGCAGCAGCAGCAGAGTCCAGAGGCTCTGTGGTCCAGAGTTTGAAGAGCGACTCCACTGGTCTGGTCAGACTGGATCCCTGAGATAAGTCTGGCTCAGCTAACGGAGGTCCTGTAGCATTGAGCCAACGTTCAAACTCCAGTCCTGGAATGAGGAGCACCAAAAATGTCGAGCAGGAGTCTCTGCAGGTGGCTTGGCTGCCTCAAGGTTCTGGACTGCTTCTAGCACAGTTAAGAGAGGTTCTAACAACAGCAAATCAGACCAACCTGTAGTTACAGCGACATAACAGTCTTAGCAGCCTTATTGGGCTAGTCTACACTACATCTGGAAGAGTGCCAGCAACACCTCTCCAAATTGAACCATGAGTTTTCCAGAGCTCAACATTACAGAAAGTACAAGAAACACACATGCTCTTAAGAGAGCCAGGCTAACAAGTATCTATGATCAAACTATGTTCTAATACGAGATTTTTTTGCATTTCTCTTTCTCAGAATTTTGAGGAAGACTGAAGAATATGGGGAAAACTTGCTTCGCAATTAGGGGAAAAAAAAAAAAAAAAAAGGAAGGTGAGAGGGCTGACTAAACTCCTTCTACCCACAGTAAAGCTAAGTAATTTTCAGTTTATTTATACAATCAATAACTAAAACAAAAAATAAGTTTCTCCACAAGCAGCAGAGCTAGCAGAGCCTGGTTTCCAATAGAGCTCCTCCCCTTGACCTTTTACCACCTCAGCACTTTCCTAACCCTTGGCAATACTTCCCGTTCCACACCATCTACCCTAAAACTCCTCTCTCCTGCATCCCCTATTAGCCAGGCAAAAGTTATCACGTGCTGTGGTTAACTCATTAGCCAACTAATGTGCCAAATAAAACATACAACTGCTGAGCTCAGGCTGCAGCTTTTCCTACAGTACTATCACTCATCTACATCTCTTCACAGGGAGTTTCCACAAAGCCTGTAGGAATGTAGTATCCTCAAAAGTTGTACGCCGCCGCCGGTCTGGTTTAAACTGACCCATGGGTTCAATAATTACTTGCAAGGGTGGACACATGGCAGAACATCAGTCTCATTTAAGCAAGTGGGCTAATAAGCACCTAGTGGATTACAGACCTTTCATAAATCCACCAACAGCAATAAATAGGGGATATAAGGGAGGGTGAAACATTATGGAAGAGATTTTATATGCACGGATAGGACCTTGCGAAAAGTTCCAGTTCTCAAATCATGTTTTCTGTAATTAAAACAGGTGAAATTTCAAAGTGTGTTCACCATTTCCTTGCATTTGAGCACATGTAAATCTCACATGCACTGATCGTTCTGTCTGCAGTGTGAAAGATGAGTTCATGAGAAAGTTAACTGAAGGCCACTCAGCTGATTAATGCCAAAATCGTCAGCAATTTAAGATGTTCTCATTCCCCAACATGGAGGCAGTAACAACAGATCACGACAATCATTTCTATCACTAACGTCTGGCTGTTGCCAAAGGATTTTGTTTACCTTAGCATTTTCTTATGCATCCTCCAAGCCAAACACAAAATTTATCATCCAGATTTTCTACAGTGCTTACAGTTAAATAAAAGTAAATTTCCTACCTGCTTTGCTCTCAACACATTGCTCTTTCAGCTCTGGAAAAAAATTCAGAAAGGAATCCAGGAGATCTTGAGCCACAACGCTGGTAAATTTGTACTTCTCAATGTAGGCCTGAAACAGTAAAAAGGATAAATTTTGGTTAGGAGAAAGACAGCTTCATTTCAATGCAGAACATCTTCATGCAATACAAAAAAATAGAGATGGAATAGTGAGAAAAAGTATTTGGAAGGTTTAAAAAAAAAAAAAAAAAAAAATCAAGAAAAATATTCTCCCTCTTCCTAGATGAGGAAAGCACCATAACAAGAAAAACCTGGGTAGCTGCAAATACATTGACAGCTGAGTACGGGGGGCAGTTCTAATACAGATCACAGATACGTTAACATATCAAGGGCAGGAAGGTTTCCTTGTACTTGACACTAGTGGCAAGTCAGAACACAGCTGGCCACTGTATTATTCACTGATAGATTATGGGCTAGAGTCATACTTACATAAATAAAGATAAGATAGAATGGGGACTGGATGGGAAGAGGAGATGAAAAAACATGCATGCAGCAAAAAGAAAAAGCAATGTGTTGTGTCACTTTTCAAAAAACAAGCTAATAGCTGACACCGTTCTCTATAGGTTTTGTAAATGTGCTCCAAGACACCAAACCTGCCCCAAGGTAGGAAACCATGCCCTTTGTCACCCTGGCTAAAAAACCCACAAGCTGTTACTGTTTAGTAGCGAATGAAGTCACAACATTCCAGTCACAGATAATCTATGCTGAAACAGCTTTCTAATTATTTGGAGCACAGAACAAGAGGTAACAAAAACACACTACTCCTCTGTATTTGGCACCTGAGAGTCCGAGATGAAAAAACAGCACAAGCACATTCACTTAAGAGAAATCTGAAGAAAAATGTGTCACACATAGAAAGAAACATTTGGGATGACGGACAGGCCCACACCATTCTTCCATCTCAGGAACATTTGTATTCAACTTTACCCCTATCAATTAGCTACAGTGACAAAACCTGAAAAAAACCAGCTCTAGATCTCAAGAGAAACATGTGCTTATTTACACTCACTCTTAGGAAGGAGTCAAAGTGTCTTGGGTCACCGCAGAGCTGGGACAGGTAGTAAACAAAGCAGTAGCCTTTCTCATAGGTGAAGAGGTTCATTAAATTACTAGGATTTACACCTGAAAGAAGAAAACAATGTTATAAGACACTTTAATGAGGACACTCATTTCCAACCCTTGTATGTATACAGACCCCTTAGAGATCGCTGAATCGAGATGCAGTGACTTAAAAACAAAACAAGCCTGTTGTCAGTACGTTTAATTTACTGCACTAAATTAAATGGAAGCAGTCCAAACATACTGGCTGGAAAAAAAGTGGGGAAAAAAAAATTAAAATCAATCATTGTAAGCTAAGTATTAATTCCCTATGGAACAAGTCACTTCAAATTAGAAGTCACAGAAAACACACCGGGAATCTGAAGACAAATTTTTTATTTTTTTTTTTCCAGTGACAAACTCGGTTCAGGGAATCGCCACACCACAAATTTTTAAAGATATCAATGTAAGATAATCACTACTTATTCCTTTTTTGAGACTTCCAATATCATATCCACTTGCATTTTAGGTTGTTTTAAATATCATCTAGATTGAAGACTGCGTCACACCACCAATGGTGACAACAGAACAAGAGAACTATGAAAGAAGCAGCTACATGACGCTGGAGTGCAGACGTGCATTGGCTCAGGGGACAAGCGAACAGCCTCTGCACAGCTCAGTCAACAGGACAGCAAGTACATATGTTTGCCTGTATGCTTATGCATACATACATAGTTCTTACATGAGCACAAAAAAAGAGGAACATTTAACAGCACAGGATTTTATTTGATGTTTCCAACTATTTTCATTATAAACTATTTTATTTTACATATTCAGAAGCTTGAAACCACACAGCTTTCAAGGCGGTTTTTCACACTCCGTTTCTGCCCAGTGAGTCTGTTCTGTTCTTAAACAGAACAATATTTATAAAGGTGAGTTAGTCAACTTTGAAGAAAACATCAAGGCAAGTTTCCTTATTTACTTTTATACTAGTTTACAAACTAGTATTTCTTTTTTTCTTTCTTTTATAAAGGATATGTAAAAATTAATCTTTTTTTCATTATATTCCAGCATCAATATACAGAAGTTTTGCGTACAGCAGCTTCAGCCGAAAGCAATACCTGGCTCCAGTTTAACCTGAAGCTTGCTGACTGGGTTGTCTTCTCCAAGGAGCTTCATCTGTCTGTGGAGAGCATCAAGGCGGAACGCAGTCTCCAAACATGTGAAGGCAGCTCCTACCCCAGAAAGAAATATATTAGTTGTGGGAAAATGACTAGCAAAACCGGACTTGTGCAGAACTAGCACAAATACACTTTCAATAGCTTTTATTTTGTAAAAGACACAATAGCGAGACAGAATCACAGTAATATAACGGCAGAGAAACTTAAAGTGTAAAAAATCCTTTCAATTCATAATGGAAGTCAGAACCTAAAACAGTGTATTTATGCATTCTGATTATGCAGCAGGTTCAGCTGAAAAACAAAGCAGCATGTAAACTATGCTAAAGTTTACATCCCTGACATATCTTATCAGCTTTTGCAAGATAAGCAAAGCAGCATTGGAATAAGTATTGCACAGGTACCTTTCAAGGAGCAATCAAATGCTACAAAAGAAGTAATGTCACTGGTAGAATAGGAGACACGCCATTCCATATTCAGTGCCAAGGACATTACTAAGAGAATGTCACCTCTTGGGGTGAAAACAGAAAAGGATTAGATTTAGTTGGTATATTACAGATCCTGTGGATCTTTTCTAAGCTTTATCTAGCATCCTACCCACATTGTACCATACGATTTTCACCTTCCACTCATTAGGACTTCTTTTACAGCTGCAACTGGGTAGGCTACTCTTTCTCTTCTATCTAACTGAAGTGTAGAATGTTCCATGCTTTCAAGCCAAACTACCTATATTAAACTGGTGAGTCGAGAGACCTTTCCTATGCTCTTGCAGATGTAAAAAGCTGTGGAAAATGGATTCTCAGATTCAGAAGATACTTAACATACAGCACTGTTAACACTTTAGCTTTCTTTGCTAAGTCTTCAACAATAAGGCTTGTTACATAGATACAATTTGAGAGTCTCAATGTACCTACGGAGGAATCTGATACAAGCAAAATGTGAATTAAGAACCAGGATATATTTGGAAGATAGAAGAACCTGTACTGGTAGAGAAAGGGGCAGATGTACTTCACATGGGAAAGCAAGAACCAGGATGGCCAGTGTTAAGGGCAATTACTTCAAGCTACAAACAGGGAGGATTAAGCAAGATCCAAGAGGTGTGGTGGTCACGGGACTCCAATTTCTGTAAACAAGGTCATTACAAAGATGCCTTTTTATTAACAGCAGAAGATACTTCAGAAATTACATCAGAAATTATAAGACTTAGATCAGAGGTTTGTCCTAGAAACAAAATAGAATGCAAAAAGACCTTATGAATGAGTGGCACAGGGAAAGGCATTTCTTAGTTTCCTGAACAATTGCTTCTTGAAATAATCAGTTCTAAATTTCAATAGAATAGACCAAAATCGGCAAGGATCTTGCCCTATGTCAGAGGGACGGACTAAGATGGGATAAAGAAGAGGTCAGTATCTTCCGGACTATTCATCTTATTGCAACGTGTGCAATGTAATGTGCCTTATAAGAACAGTCCACTCAGAATTACTCAACATAAAACAGCATTCAGAGACATATAATATAGATATATATCCATATACACTCAGAACACTTCTTTCCCTGAGCTTCATTATCATCAGTTCATCTCCAAAACCAATATAAATGAATAAAAACAAAGGCATCCTTTTGAACACTCCCACTGCCAAGATTTCCAGGAATTTTTCCAAGATTGTTTAGAGTGCACACGTGAGAATACACATGGTACAGGCTTTTAAGAACATAACAGAACAAACTAGAGAAATGTATGTTCCCATTATTCACTTCAATAAAAATCCAATTCAACTGAAAAGCAATAGGAATGCTTTACTACTTAGATATTCTAAGACAGTACCATACAACCGATCTGTGAAATTCACTGATATAAGCAGTCAAAGGCAGGGCCGTATAGTTCTACAGGAAGCTTCAAACAGATAGACAGCTACGTAGATGTGTACTACTTTTTTTTTTTTTTTTTTATAAGAGCTATTGCCATCATTCTTTCCAACAGCAGGTAGCTACTAACTGATCGGGATTAGAAAGACACTTGTTCAGAGGATAATTATTTCACAATGTAACCATAAGATTTCTTACATCTTCCTCTGAAAGATCCTCTACTCACCTTGCTCTGACATATGAACACCTGCTTGGTACCCAAAAGTAGTTCTAAAGTCCCTACAAACATCCTTACAAAGCCTGCACTAACACACCTTGTTCAAAGACCCTATTACCATATCTGGTACTGATTCCACCCAAAGCCAAGACAACATGAGACCCTAAGTATCCTGATGTTCAATGCAAAGTTTGGGGATGTACATGCTCAGGAAACAGAAAAAGAAAAGTAGCTCCCTACAGACTTTTGAGCTCCTGAGGCAAATATACTCTCACTTATGGGTTAAACACATCATAAGGAGTAACATTTCTGCAGCTATACCATAGGTCTCAGTGGTGATCCGGCGCTGGGCATATGTGGCTAGCCCCTCGCTCAGCCACATCTCCTCCCATGTAGCATTGGTGACTGCGTTTCCAAACCAGCTGTGGGCAACTTCATGAATGACGTCAATGATCAAAAACTCATCACTCTCCAGAATGGAAGAGATGATAAAGGTCAGGCATGGGTTTTCCATGGCAACAATAGGGAAGGATGGAGGAAGAAAAACAATGTCATATCTGAAATTAGGGAGAGAGAAGAAAGGAGAGAATAAATAGGTAAATTACATCTACTTCAAAAGACATACACAGAAACATTTTTTTTCTTTTCCTTAGGGAAGGCTCTTCTGAGAGTTTTTTGTGTACTTCAGAAACAAACTTTCTAGATCAATGGTGCTTAATTCTTCTGATCAGGGGATCACAGAGTTTATTCTGTTGGCCAAGGACCTGCTCACGTTTGGATGTAAGACTATACAGTCTTTTCATGTGCAGCATGTCCAGCACTTCCCAGCGCATCATGTTCCCTTCAAACACGCAAACTCATCACAAGTTGTATATTTGAGAACCAGAAACACTAAGTTTACATATGCTACCCATATACACAGTGTCAAGTCCCCAGAGGCTTCCAGGAAAGAGAGAGGCTGGGAAGTTATCAAATGAATTAATTAATTTGGTGTACCCACAGTGTCAGCAAAACAACTCTAGTCTGTCTGCTTCAGAATGTAACAATACTATTTGTTTTGTTTTCTAAATTTCTCCATCAATGATCAGCACTGCCACACTGGGCCTTGTTCTCAGACCATTTCAAGCAACATTTTTTAAGTTAACAACACCATGTTCTTCCTGCTTACATTTAGCAAATAAATATAGGAAGCCTTTGCAAACATTTTCTCCCATCCAAAGAACGAAAACATTCTCTCAAAACCATTCTCTTTTACTACATAGCCAAGCTTAACTTCAGAAACTATTAATGTTGGTTTTGGGGACTAAGACTCTCAATGACTCTGTACCGAGTCGGGTTTCCAAGCACCCTCAGACATACATGTATCACATGTTAAGTACATTATGTAAAAATAAATAAGACAAATAAAACTCCCATACATTTTAAATGACGTCCAGCCCAATATTGGACTTGCATCACAAAACACTATACTATAAAGACCTTCACTCCTCAGGGAAGATCCACTGTTTAGAAACCTCCAGGACTGCCCACCATACCAGGCAAAACACCACCATGCCTCCACGGTCCTCTCTGCCACTTGCAGAGACAAAACTCCAGAGTTTGTTTCCAATACTACAGTGCTGTCAGTTGAGAGGCTCATTTGTCCCGCTATTGCTAGCGTAGGGAGAAAGCACGATCATTTCTCAAGATTGTTTTATTTTGTCCCCATTACACATTCCTGGGAGACTTACTGAACTCACCTTCCCCATATATATGGGCCATACAGACTCTCTGCAGCAGTCAGCCAGCGCTCAACCATGCCAGAAAGCTTGCTGATGGCTGTTGGCAGCAGACAAGGCTCTGCCCACACTCTGCTCCTGTCAGAAAACAGAAAACATCAGGTGATACTTCAGCAAACTGAATTATCTCTTAGAAAAAATAGCCTGACCACACTTCCACGTACAGTAATAGTGCTAAGAGGTCTCACACCAGACTCGGGCCTTCTTTAGGCTAACACTCAATGGATACATGACAAGAAATAATCAGAGATCCCTGAAATCGCTTTAAGGCAACAAGGCAAGTAGCTGTAATGATTACAGGGGACAACAAGCAACATTTATGAAAGAGGGAAATATCTTTACCAGTGCAGTGCGATGCGGTTCTTTACACCCAACTAAACCTCAAACTCTCTGAACAGCCACAGCTCATGGTCCCAACTGTTCCCTTGTCAATGACTCTAAACTATTTACTGCTTATAACCTGAAGCACTGTAGAGACACAAAAAGCAGAATCGACTCACTGCAAATCTTACCTTGGACCTATGTCTGCATGTATAAGGTCTCCTGCCACCAGGGCCACTAGATAGGCAGGAACTGGATATTCCATGTAAAATTGATATACGCCTTCCTCTTCTAAGTAGGTACTTTGGGTAGCACTCATCAACACCTGTATGCCTGCTGGAGCCTGGAAGACCAACATCGTACACATCAACTCACTAGATGATCACAGCTGAATGACTACACTACAGATCTCTCTTTTTTTTTTTTTCTTCTATGCCTGGATGTACGTTAAAAACAATAATTTAGATAACGCAAAAGATAAGATTTCTGTGGGGTTTCTATACCACAATCTACCCAGCCTGTGAAAACATATCAACCAAAAATATTACTCCTCTTACACTGCATGGGTTCTTACACCAGCTCCCCCCCAATACTGCCCACATATCAAATCATTTCACCCACACAAAATGCAACATTATTTGATGCTGCTTTCATAAAAATTTGGGGTGGGGGTGTAAGGGGGTGTCTTTCAAGAATTGAAAAAATATGGTTGAGTATTATCATCAATAACCACTACTGGAAGTGACCAGCCAAATTCTCTCTTTCATATTATCCATTTTATGGTTACTCTTTCAGGATTGAGTATGGGGAAGAGCCAAGCATAATAGGCAAGAGTTGCCTTCGTGGCAGTACACTGATTCTGGCCAAAGAACCAGAAGGGGATCTAGAAAAAGCCAGTATTTTTTATAACGCTAAATGTCACAATGAATATTTTATACCATACGTACATAGACAATGTAACTATGCTTTCACAAGTTAACAGCAGCTAAGTGCTCCATGAACCATTTACCATGAACTTACCTTGACAGTAGCTGAATAGGTACATTTCACTGCTGGTGTGTCAAAGCAGGGGAAGAAAGACCGGTTACACACTGAGTGGCCCTGCGTGAAGACAAACGGCTTGGCATTGCCATACGTCAGTTCTGGATCCAGCCACCAGATCTGTTGAAACATGAGGGTGGTGAGGCACTGGAACAGGTTGCCCAGGGCAGTTGTGGCTGCCCCATCCCTGGAGGTGTTCAAGGCCAGGCTGGATGGGGCTTTGAGCAACCTGGTCTAGTGGGAGGTGTCCCTACGCATGGCAAGGGGGCTGGAACTAGATGATCTTCAAGGTGCCTTCCAACCTAAACAATTCCATGATTCTATGACGTGAAGAAGAGGTGAAGGAAAGGGATAAAAATCACAAGGATGAACTGCGAAAAAAAAACAAAACCTGAAATCAAGTGGATTGTGGGGGAAAAGAAACACCTCAGCTGTTTGGCTCCCCGGATGAATACTTGGCACAGGACACATTTCTAACAATACATCTTTCTACTCTTGTTTATTTGCCGTAACTACTCAGAGTAATTTCTCACTGTCTGAACACTGAGTGGTGCCACACAACATAGTGCCTTCCAGCCACTCGCTATTTCTATCAATTTGCTTGGTTAATACCAAGTCCCTACCAAATATCCAGACAACCTTCTTCTCAGAGGGAATACTTTGAATATCTTTATGTTTTTAATTCAACAAGAACAGGAGTAGCAGGGCTCAGGTAGCACAAGCTGCCCCCCAAACAAAATAGACAAACCAAAAAACCCTGAGGCTGAGCAGTGTACACAACATTATCTCTGACCCTGACACTGCCCTGCTGGCTGAAGCATCAAACATTTTGACACTATGCAAAAAAAGTCAGAATATGTAAGAAACATCTGGTCAGTGACACTGGAGGCCTCTTTTTACAGAGCGGATAAGGAGATTCTGGGTGGTCACCAAAAAAAAAAAAAACCAAAACCAACAAAAACCACCACTGTGCATGTCAATTTGAAGTATCAAACAGCGAATAAATCACAAGTCAGACGCTCAGCAAATAATTAGAATAGATTAAGAATAATATGAAAGAGTGCAGTTACTTGCCTTTTTGGTTTTTCTGTTTCAAATGTAATGTTTATGCTTCCACATGCTCCCTGTCTCCAACTTTGAAGTGACGGAACAATTTTAAATAAGGATTTTCTTGTAATCCTAGAACTCTGGAGCTGAACTTTTACGGAAAATATCTAATATTGTGAAACTTGCAGTAAAGTTGGAACCACTGGAAGTCTTGGGAACAGTCAAGCACAAGGAATAAAACTTCTGAGTCTGCTGAATTCTTAGATCAAAGCAACCAATAAATCTGGATTTGGGGAACAGCAGTTAGCGCAGACACTAGTTCAGTTCTGGTCCTCAAGAGAAAGCAATGAAATACTTACATAAGAGAAGGCTGGGTACTATGCCTGGTCTGGTTTTAACAACATACTACAATTCTGTCTCCTAGTTAACCTCTCTGTGTTCTGGAAGTCAAAGTTTTCTCTCTCTCCCTCTGTCCTCTAAGGTTATTCTTTGTTATCTTCTTCCCTTGCCTTTAGACCCTTCTCCTCAGACGCCAATGTTCTCCTCTCCCAACTCATCCACTTCAGCAGCACCCCTGGGGATCAGTGAAAGGTAAGGAAAGGAAACAGACTGTCAGCAGCTTTCAGTTATTCGTATAGCGGTTCACACTTACACTGGCAAGTGGGTTTTTTTTAGGTGGGAGGCATTTTTATCTCAGAGCAGCATTCTCATCTCGAAATTTGTTTTAAGATTACTCTCTTCTGTTTCAAGCCTGTTTGGCCAGAAACAAGCTTAAAGCATGACTTCTGACGAACCTTGCCTCACTTACACCAGGCGGGCTAAGGCTATACGACTATTCAAACCCACATGCTGCATTTCAGCGTATCACTGGCCAAATCCCCAGGTCACAGCTGAGATGCGCTACATAGCTACAGATTTCCACTCCATGGATACCTGCATTTCATAGCAATGAATATTTTCCCTGCGATGCGACACTGTGGAACCAGAGACAACTATTCCAGAAGGCATCTGGGGACACATGTCTCATTAAAACACTAAGTTTGAAACTAATAGCTTCCCCCCAGAACATACATTGACATAAAAATGCCAGTGCTCTGTTTTACTCCGGGGTAGTAGTATTCCAATGACCCAGGAAGGAGGCTCAGAAATTAAGGTTTTTTAAGATCTGCTCCACTGCCAACTTAAAAACACTCCTCTGATTGGTGGCTTTGTACTTGTATCACAAAAAGTCTGACTTACAGTCTGTATCATTGACTCTGCTTGAAGAGACTCCCCTGCAAAAGGTTCCATTTCTTTCGCTTTCTGAGACAGAAAAGGCTAACAAAGAAAACAGAGAGAGAAGACACCACCAGACCAAAGTTTCAACACTGGAGTAGGAAGGAAAAAGGGCTGACAGATGATGTCTTTAGAGCAGAGAGATAAGGGGAAGTTCTCCCTGACCAGCGCAGGAAGAAAACGTAAGCAGGAAGCAAAGGGGAACTGAGAAGTTGATTCTTGTTTACAACTCCATAAATTAAGGACTATTTCTTTTCAGCCAAAGTCCCCCTTTCTTTGACATTTGGTTGAAGTTAAATGAAGCACTGGCTCCACGGGCCAAGAGGGAAAAAACATTTGCAGAGGATGAAGTATTTTTTTCCCCCCTGTTTCCTAATGTCTGCAGCTACATGGCAAGCCTCCGTCTCTCCTTCCAGATGCACTTGGAACAATGATGAAAGTTATCCTGAAACAATATAAATAGATCTGGAATATAAATAGACCAGGCTATGCTGCCGGACAGAGGCAGGACTACGGACTGGGGAAGACGAGTATAAGCAGCGTCCCAGAAAGGAGCGCGAGGAGCAGGGTACTGCTGGGGGCAGGGCTGGATTTGGGGCCATATCATCTGCTCTGCATCCAAATCCCTCCTGTGCTCCCCTTTGGAAATATACATGTCGTCATCATAATGCTCATCATTTTTATCTATTTTTATTCATGTATACAGGAGAGCCGTTTCACACATTAAAGCTGTTCTATGATGCATTTCAAGTAAAAAACCCTGCTGCTTCGTTCCTCTGCTGAAGAGAGGCTTTGGGCAGTCCAGGTTTCCCTCTGCCCACATGCTGTGGAGAAGCTCACACTTTACAAGGCACCTGCCGAGAATATAATTTCTATTGACTTAGATTATAATCTTTTACCCAAATCCGGCAAATGACAAAGACAATTAGCTAAGCCTCTTTCCATTTTAAATCTCTCTATGTTTCTACCTGCATTATTGATTAAGCTCCCGAGAAGAGCTGCAACGCCACAGCTTCTGTTCTAGACCAACAACAGGCCGCTCCATCTGATGGCAAAGTAAATCGCACACCTGAGATGCGGAGGATGTGACAGGAGTGAGGCACATCTGGACAGCAAGTCACTCTAGGAGGTCTGAGGAATCAGGACAAATCTAACAGAACAACAGGGAAGTTTCCAGCATGGCAAAAAAAGCCGTCCTTTTTGCTAAATCCTGAAGATGAGGAAATGTTACTTTTATACCAGAACACAGAGCAGGGTTTGCATTTAAGGTTGTCATGGAAAGAAAATAGCACTGGTGTTAACATATGCTCTGCCAAATCAGAGGCGTGACACAGTGTGTAAGAGACAGATGCAGATTTTTCTCCCTGGGGAAGGAGGAAAAAAAAAAAAAAAAGTTTTATGAAAGAGTATTTGTAGGGCCAAGAAGGAAGGAGTGAGGGAAAAGAAGGGGAGGAAGAGCAGCACAACTGTCACTGACACACCTGATGGGTGCGTGCCTTCAGCCCACACCATCAGAGAGACACAATGTTTGTGACGGTCCTGCTTCTGAGGCGAATTGGTGATGTACCGAGCATATGGTTTCCTAACAGCACAGGAAGCTGGAATGCTCTGTGAAAGGCAGATTTAATCTCTCAGCTGTCTCTCAATGTCCATCAAACAACCGAAGATCTTGGCTCCTTCCTCCACATGAGAAATAATGGGACAGTCGAATAACATACCCAGATGGCTCAAACCAAGTATATCAAGGCAACAGGTTTCCAATTTTAAACAGACGACTATCTTTGCTGCTGATTTTACTGCCAAGATGTTTGTGCTGCACTGTAACAAGGATTTACTGTTTTATAGGTCCCACAAGTACGCTAAGTGTCCCATAGAAAATAAACCCTGACTGAAAAAGATTATATTCAGAGAAAGGCCAAAGAAAACATATCTTTTAGAAGACAAAGGTCTAACACTGTAAAGTTGCTTCACTTATGCAGAGAAAAGGGACTGTGAGTAAATGTGCTAGACACAAGTATAAACCAGTTCACCCTTATACACGCATGGGTCACTCATCCCTACTAAAATGCAATGCTAGGCTGAAAAACAGCAACGACAGATAGCACTACAATAGCACGAAACAACTTTGGATCCAAAAAAAATAGTTCAGTGTGCTGAACATGAAGGGCTAGAACAGGTGCTACTCGAGGACAAATACTTTGCCAGCCAAAATCTACAATAGTGAGCGAGGAAACGTGGTACAATTTATGTCAGTGAGCACGCCTGCTTCTACTTTTCAGTATCACTTGAAAAGGGCAGTGCATGCCCCTGACACTGTAACCATCAATAATCTTTTGACGTTAGCGCTTGTAGCTTCATTTCAGCTGCAGCAGTACACGTTACCGAAGGTACAAAAGAGACTTGAAAAGACAGGATGAAGAATAGCTAGCTTGCGTCTGATCCAGGGGAAGCAGGACAAACAACAGAGGGAATGGAAAAGACACCCTGCTCCCTGCATCCTCAAACACGTAACGTGCACGCTGTGGTGTGCGCAGGGCCAAGGAGGCAACATGTTAATGCAAGGTGAGAGTAAACGAGCATCACGTCAGTCCGTGCCCTGCACCTCCCAGCGCTTTTCAGACTGTTTCTAAAGCCTAGCCTCAGATGGGTGTTCCATTACATCTGAGATCATTTCTCCACAGACACAGCAGGAGAGTCTGCCCCTTTGGCAACAGGGCTGGCAAAACCCAGGAGAAAGCACAGGCTAGCCTACAATAAAGCAATTTGCTCAAGAGGACGAAAGTATGTTATCGTGTACTTCGGGAGGAATG